TCTATTAGAAAAGCAACTTTTTACAATGGCTTTGGCTGAAAATGGATTTTTCGTATGGTTACTTTTTAGTTGTGAAGACGTTTTTGTCTCGATCCTAAACTGATCCAGAACTAGGAAAGGTGTCACCGTCACTTTCGTTGATCGATCCTGTGAGTCCAAATATAAAAGCTTAGATTTTGAAAAAAAAAATTGAAGTATATCCAAAACACAAAGTTGACTTCTGACCATATTTCACTCGAATTTGAGGATTTTTTAGCTGCAGTCTTACTGAAAAATTTTCGCCATCCGGAACTAGGAAAAATGACTGTACCAAACCTATATGGACAAGAGACCGAAGGAGCTTTGTCTTATGAGGGGGGAGCGCTGTTGATGTACACTTGCATGACTGTATTTGTAACTATCTAACCTGTCGGCCTAAATGACTTTTGTGCGGAATAAGTAGTGCTTACTGTTTGAATTAAGAATATTTTTGTCAAATAAAACAATATGAATGAAAATTACTTTATGTCGGGATTGACGACAAAGCGAGAGCGGACTGTGTAATATTCCAGCGGTACTGGGACTCCACACGGCGTGCGGTAAGTAGTAGTGATCACGCACAAATTGTGCGGTTGATCGGCCTCTTTTTATAATCAAAGCACTAAATGTGCGCTACAAACCCAAAGAGTCAGAAAACCAGTTTAGTTGAGTTTTATACCAAGAAATATTCCGTTTCAAAATTATTTTTAAATTAAAGCAACTTGAATTTCCTCAGTTATTCAGCGGAACTGTGGATGAGGAATTGACCCAAAAAGCAGGAATGATGTTTTCTGTATGTACTAAAGCATTTCAAATCCAAGTATTTTTTCATTTGAAAAAAAGGAAATGTTGACAGGTGTAAGTCATAATACAGTAGAGTCGGCCAATCAAATGTCACTTGTCAAAGTACTTATACATTAAAATCTCGACAACTGAACCTCAGGGGAATGGAGTTATCCTGAAAAAGTATTTATAAAACTAAACTACTTCATCGTGGTACGTACCTTCGTGTAGCAAAACTTTTGTATCGCTTAGTCATTTAACAACGTGAAGCTCTGCTATTTTTTTCACTTGGGCTTCCTTATGTGTGGTCACATGACCTTTCTTTTTACGGTCACATGGCCGCTGCAGTGTCAGCGATTGGACTGCCCGAAGAGGACTACAATTGGGCCCGCGTTGCAATCAGGTTAATTTCAGCGTCTTGAAAGCCAGGATTACACAGTTGCAGCTACGTTGGTTTATGCAACGTGCTGGTCCTCATCAGAAAAGAAATGAACTTGCGATGACTCCTAACCTTATATGGACTTCAGATATACTTTCAATGCCGTTGGAAGCATTTTGGTGGCAGTTTTTTTAATCAGAAACTTCAAAATAAGTGGATGTAATGGTGTGGGCATTGTTCGAGTTACAGTGGAATTTTTGTTCATAAACTTTAAGCCTTTTAACCTGTGACGTACATAGCACTGATCTGGTCCGCACATGACACGACCCGCACTCACCATTTGTGCATGCCACATGCGTTCCGAGTGTACGTGGTCATGTAGCATCCGTGACATTTCCTTTGAGCGTTTGCAGGTGCGTATATCATGCAGGTGGTTTGCAGCTCTGTTCTCTTTTCTGACGTTCCCCGTGAAGATTTGTTTTTCTGTTTCATACACCCACAAAAAATATGCAAACTGAAGGTAACAATTTCGTTTGATAAAAAGATGGGAGAGATTAACTCCGACGTTTAGAACAATGTTCAGCTTGCTTCCTATGTACCAAAAAGAACCGTGTTTCGGGCACATGATCCACCGGGTCGCGCGCAATGCCATTTGTTATTAGGCGATCTCTTTTCCGGGTACCCGATGTTAATAAAAAACGGGTATCCGGTTCTAAAAATACCTGCAAATGCACACCCCTACCGATGGCAGTTCAGTTTAACCAACTTTAGCCTTTCCTACTATTAACCTTAGTCCCAAAATGTAGCAAGAGTTGCCAACTGCAAGTATCCAAGGCTTCTGTGTCATGTTGAAAGGAAGTAAACTACCCGTAGTTCATGGGTTCATAAATTCATTCCAAACAATCTGGATGTTTCAAATTACGCACAGATCTATTTTTTGAGGCTAGTTATTTTGTGTCTTGGAGTTTTGAACTTTGTGACTGAAACAAGTAAATGTAGAACAGCCTTGCTGGCCCATCACAAAAAATTTGGAAGTTCCTCTGTTTCATAATTTTTTCCATACTTAGTGAAGGGTTTGTAGAATAATTAGCTTGGTGGGTCTGATGAGTAATGCCTGAACCGTCATACTTCATGTTCAATGAATTAAGCAATTTTTCTTTGTGTGAAATTCTAATTTTCAGTATTGTTGACCTTATTTTGTGTAATTTGGAATTATTGCTCCATTCTATCCACTGTAATGGGATTGAACTCAAAACACTTGTGAAAAAACACATTTTACACAAATGAGAACTTCCCAAGGTAATGGTCGAATGTGATCACTTTTTGCACTGGCAGACCTCAAAAGTTCAGACAGAATGCCCTTTAATACAGATGGGCACCGAAACCCAACCACGATGACTGCAAGTATGACAACATGCAGTCATCAAACGATTGAACATTTCAAAGAGATTTCCATTTTTCTTTCCTGTGTATGTGTCTTTCTGCTTTCATATCTTCATTCCGATATAACTACTCATATTTTCAGTCAAGTGAAGTGCTTCTTCTGTCGGACAATCACTGAGCTCATGCTGTGGCGGCTAGCCTATGTAGGCACTCATGACCATGAGCCGTAACGCCAACGATCATGAATCACTGCGCTTTACAATGTCGGACATTTAAAAAAAATCAGTGTTTGCACTGAACCTTTTACATATTATTTTGGACAGATATCTGGGACCTACAATAATCACTTCCTGCCGGGGACTCCGGAATTGGAGACGT